TATGTATGTATGTATGTATGTATCTAATCTGTATTTTAACAACATCTATCAGCGCTGCGTACCTTCGGATCGACGATTCGGAAAATGTAACCAAGTCCAAAAGTGTATGTACTGCGCATGACTGGACTACACAGGCAAAGCTCCCCGGTGTGTTATTCATTTGCATCTACTAGGCCAAAGAATATAGGGTAGGACTACGTGTTTGCAAAACTGGATAACTTGAAATAAAAAAATTAAAATGTATTGCTCGCTGGCTCGCATGACTCGCGCATTGGCTCGCACGACTTGCTGGCTCGACTTTGGCACTACTCGATTGTCTGTGGTGTTTTGGTGATTCGTTCTGTTGGCTCTCTTTGTACCTCACAAAACCAATATCAACAAATAAAGCTTGGGTGTGACGTATGCAAAAATTCCGGTATTTATGTATTTTAATATCTTAAGTTTGTCATCTAGAACTAGATTTAAGTATGTTGAAGAAGTGATAGTGTCTTATTGTAAGGGGGATTTGAAGTGATACGGCATCAAGCATGCAGTGCGTTGAAGCTCAGAACCACTTAAAAATTACACACGTAACAAATTATATGTAATGATCTCGATATAATCTTGAAACATACGTTAGTAAGTAACGCTTATTTATTAACGTTTCTCTTGTAACCCTTGTACAAAGGCTACCCAATACTGGCTTATGAGAGACTAAATAGAGAGTACAGTACAGCCAGGTTCTTCCAAGGGGGTGGGGGGGGGGTGTTTCTGGACGTGAGGTCCACAGTCGAAGCCCCGGTGGGGTCGGCGATACCCGCAAAGCAAGAGGATTTTTGTGCTTTATGGGTCTAAATAATGCTATAAAAGCAGATATGTTTTAAAATGTCTGTCTCAGTGGGTCTGCAGTGCATTAGTTGGGTTAGAGGACTTATTTGGGAAATTTAAAGAGGGGGTTTTGCCAGAAAAGATGGGGATTTGCTAGAAAAGGGGGTTCTCCCGAACCAAACCCCCTCCCCCTCCCCTGGATACGGGCCTGAAGAGGCATTGCATATCCAATGGGAACAGCCCTCACTCAACAATTTACTCTACCATATTAATTTAACTTTGTCATTCTAATTTCACTTCATTCCGTTTATTGTTTGTAGGCTTACATTTATTTATTTATGATCTTGTTTACAATTCGCCACTGCATACAATATACAGTCGATGTCAGAGACACATTGCTGTTATGTATGAACAAAGCCCTTTTGGGCCAGGACGCTGGATCGAGGACCATGTGGTTAGGAGTCCCTGAGGGCAGTGGGGGCCGAGCACATAGGCGTTACGCCACTGATCTCTGTACATTGATGATGACAGTAGGGTCTGTCTAAAAAAGCATGCGTAGGGTCTATCAGTGGCTAGGCCTAATAAAGTACAGTATTCAGGTATTGCCTAATATATGATCGTTATGAAAAGTATTGTCATATTTTTGAATGATATGTATACATGTAAATCACATTACAGTAATGCTAAAAGACAACCAGTTCAAAATACTACACAGACTAGTAGGCCTGCAGTTAAACATTTTATTCCACTAATTTAAATAATATATAATTTTTTTAGATGTCTTTACATATGACAGCTATAATAATGTGTTATATATAAAATACTTTTCATAAAAATGTATTTTCAACCACTATAAAAATCTTTAAAAAATGAGTGACTGATACAATTATTATTACATTTTTTTTTATTATTTAGTATTTTACAATGAGTCTAGCAATAGTTGGAACCAGAGACTTAGCAGGTATCAACGTTCCCATGCAGAGTAATAATGAAGTTAACATGACTGAAAATTTATAGTATATTTCAACTTGAAAACATATTTTGGTTGATTGTTGTTATGTATAACCAATATGTTAACTGTGATACTTTTATTAATATAGATTGTTTTTAACTTTTGCAGACACATATCCTGCCCCCCTCTTTTTTTTGTACTCAGTGTTAGTATTTTAAAGCTTGTTTTTATTAGCCAATACAAATTATATGTAATTATGCATCGGCACACGATATATACAATACTATAATTATAACACATAAGCATGCAATTTGTACGCAAATTACAAATACAAATACAACATGGTTTTTTTACAACTAATTTAGCTGATCTACGCTATGTGATAGTCAACTCTGAGGACGTCACTTTTATTTGGATTACAAATTCAAAAAAGTATAATACAGTAATACAACAATATTTTGTTCTATTTGAAAATTATTATTTACTACGAGTGGTATCAATTAACACAATATTTTAATAGTATATACACTAGTCTACATATTAATGGAAAATGTCTATTTGCACAGGGGCAATGAGGGTTAGTCTGTCAAGATTGAGTGCAGTGGGAATAAAATGATGGGTGGCTACTTAGAAAACTCTTAACCACTGTCAGTAAAATAAAATGTCTTAAGACCAAAAACAAAATGTCGGCAAATTCTTTAAATACCTGAATGCCTACACACACACACGCACCCACACACACACACACACAAGTAAATACAATAGTTTGTATTGCATTACATGCATTCATAGGAACTAAAAAATCGATTAATTTTCTGAAATAACTAATTTCTATTGTAATTGAAATACACGCCATCGTGTTGGGATTCAATATTTCGACATTAATTATGTCATCATTCCTGATGATGACATAATTAATGTCGAAATATTGAATCGATGATGACATAATTAATGTCGAAATATTGAATCCCAACACGATGGCGTGTATTTCAATACTTGGAGTATGTATTATACTTTCTTATCTATTGTAATTGTTATACTGATAAAATATATAAATTTTTCATATAAAATTCCTGTATATTATAATACGGTACTGAATATATTTGCTTTCTTTGTATTTCTGCAACTGATAAAGTAAATCATAGATATACATTGCTTTGATCGACATATAAGGTTTATTTTGGATCTATACAATATTTCTCATTCAAATATTTTTATGACAGACCAGGGTTGGCACCAGGATTTGGTAATATCTAATATCCCCAAAGAGAGCGTAAGTTGTCATGGATGGGTATCGCTCAAAAACTCCCCGAAAACAATGATAATTTAGGGATTTCAAATGCTTATTTAATTGATTTTAGTTATTTGATTGATTTTAGACTTTACTAATATTCAAAAAAATACTTTTTTTTGCTCCATGACAAACTGTATTTTTCCCCGGCCAGGGCCCCAGTCCCCCTGCCACCCATGTGAAAGGCAGAATATAGAAAATATTTTCTCTTTGCTATTTTGAGTATGCTTGCTTGCTATTATATTTAAGACCTCATCAATAAATCAATATGTGTATTAATGCTTGCAGCACACAACGTAGATAGTTCTGAAAAGAACTGTTGTTGTTGGTTGAGAATATGTCAACGTTTCGATTGAGTTGCTTCAATCGTTTTCAGGAGAATAATAACATTATTCTTCTGAAGATAATCTCAAAACCAACAACAACAGTTCTTTTCTGAACTATCAACATGGTGTACCGCAAGCATTAATATATATTATTACATTGCCATGCAAACCTTCAAAAAATAATATGTGCATAGGCGTAGATCCCGGGGGATGGGGGATATATCCCCCCCAATATTTGACAAGGGGGGGATGGTCCATTGTATCATCCCGTGCCCCCCCCCAATATTTTGACTATGTATGGGATAAAATGGAGCTTTACACACTTCAAAAGACTGTCGCAGGAATAATTTGCAATGTCTTATGCGCTTACAAAGATGAAAATTAGCATAATGTATTAATGTTGATAACAAAATTATTTTATCTGGTACCAATCTAAACTCTTCTTTCCTTAGATGTTAGATGTGCTTGCAAAGCAAGCCACATTTTCACACTGAAGGGTGTGTACGACATCAGTAATTTTATGTCAATTCCAAGAATTTTCAATCACCCCCCCCCCACCAATGAAAAATACTTTTCTACGCCACTGAATATGTGTATTGATAAGATCACATAGTAAATTTATTTAACTTACTAAGTACTATGACAGATGTTAAAGAAGTAAACCAAACTGTATTCCTGTGGTTATTCTGAATAACACACATGCTTCTTTCTTTTCTTTCAACATTTTGCAATCTTATGTAGAGGTCAGATTAATTCAAATTAACCACATTCACTTCCTTGTTGATCTCAAAGTGATGCTGGTTGACCAAGTACTTTGTCATGTCCACCTTCAGTTTACTCAGTTCTCTCAGGAAATCCTCTTCAGATTTGTTTTTGGCTTCTTCAAGTTCTGTAAAATGATGTAAGTAAGATTTTAAACAGTAATATCAAAGACTATTGAATCTGTGTGTGCTGGATATAGCCACCCCTGGCCAGGCTAAGTTTGATTTAGAATTTGTAAAATTTTACCTAGCTTTGCCTGCGTGTCCAGTTGTGTTAATTCCACGTTCTGGTGGTGGTCTAAGCTGGCTAACTGTAGGTCGTGTTCTTGTGTCATGCGGTCAAGTGCCTGCGCATGCTCGTGTTCAGACAGCTGCCTCTCCTGTTCTGTAAAAGTATTAAGACAAAATACAATTTGATGAGAATAGACAACATAGCTAGTGATAAGTGATGATAGATATCTATGCTGGTAAAAATTTTTAATGATGATAGGGGATGGATGTTGGTAATGATAGTATGTTAGAGATGTTGACAGTGGCGGATTCAAGAGGGGTCCAGCTGTCCCCTCCCCTAAATTTTTAAAAATAAAAAAAAAAATTTACAAAATGAAAATTCTACTCAAATTTTGAGTCTAAGAGTGCCATTTCTGGCCTCTAAAAGGTGCCATAATCATAAACCATGGTAGTATAGAACCTCCATCTGTGAAGGTCCCTCTCTGGGCCCCGTCTATTTAAAATTCCTGGATTTGCAACTGGTTGATGACAAGGGATCCCATGTTGAAAGAAGTCATATTTTAGAAGATCTACAGTGGCTGAACTTAAAATTTGAAATAGATGGGAGGGGGGGGGGGGTTATCATGGTTTGGGCTAAAATTTATTATTAGGCCAAATAAAAAAAAGTATTGTATTGGCCACGCCCGACCGACGCAAATGTTACGAAATTCAGTGTCAGCATTTTAGTTTTTTTTTTTTTATTAATACAAGGTACAATATTTTTTGTTAATGAGCTAATAAGGCTGAAATAGCCTTGGACTAGGCTAAGGGGCCAAGGTCCTAGCCTATTAGGTGCATGGTACGCGATGCGAATCTAAAATTGTTGTATTATTTGTGTATTTTCTACTTTTCCTACCGACCTACCCATTTTTTGGATTTTCCCAAAATGTGGCCAACACAAAAATTTATTTTTTTTGGCCTTATGGCACCTCTAGATGGCCGGAAATGGCACTCTCAGACATAAATTTTAGAATACAATTTTCTTTTTTCCCACTTTTTTTTTTTTTTTTTTTTTTTTTTTTTGTAATTTAGAAAAATTTAGGGGCCCAGGCCTGCTGTCCCTCACCCTTAGAATCCTCCACTGATCTGCAGTGGAATGACCTTTGTTAACACATTGTAATTTTATTACTGCACACACAGTGATACCCATTGACACCGACTTCCAGGAGACAATTGATAATAAAATATTGAAAATAGGCTCCCAGCAGGAGCATGTGTCTACTGCCAAATTTAATAGAAACGGTGATGTCAAAAGTGATTAATGAAATAATAGTATTATTAATAATAGTTTTTGTTGCAACTCCAAAACCACCGAGTTAGGGTAGGAAAAACCACAAGCAAAACAGTCTCGAACTGAGTTCAACTGTAGACCCGTTTAACCACTTTACCATTTAATTTTAACTTTCAACTTTCAGAACTGTGCGCCTGATAGATAATGACTAATTGGTTAGCAATGCATCATACAGTACCACACACGACCTAGTTTACAGGTAGTAGAGTAGTAAAATCACGTCATATCACACATCATGAATGTGACATAATGTCAACTTTACACTTCCTGATTCTTACTTCACACTTTTGTGAATGTCAACTTTACGCTTCCGGATTGACCAGGATAGCAAAGTGTCTACTGCCCTCGGGTAGTAGACACAAAAACAGGCAAATATTATGAATTTACGGGAAATAGGGTTTTCCCAGGAGATTCTTGCTTGCTTGCTGTAGTGCGGAAGGTCATCCCCATTTATAGGAGACTCCCGCGAGTTCTGGAAGACTTTTGGGACCCCTGAGAAGAGAGGTGCTGCATGATTTTCATGATAGTAGGTGAGAGATGTTGTTGATTACAATGTTTTGAGAACTTTCATTCTTACTCAGTTTACTCCTAGCTTCCTCTCGCTGTAACCTGAACTGAACCAGTTTCTGTTCTCGCTCTTCAACTTCTGTGTTCAGTCGGAGCTGTGTGCGGGACTTGATGGCATTGTCTTGCATATTCTACAAACGTAAAAAAAATATATACAAAATCAATCCTGGCACTGGTCTGCATACATATAAATATACCAGAGTCTACGTAAAGAAATGTTCAGAAAGAACTAACATAATCTCAAAGCAAGTAACTTGTAATTTTATACATGACATATCAAAATAAAGCTTGCTAATAAAAAACAAAAAAGGAAGTTTTATATTAAAAATTTTATTACAATAATATGAGCTCTGCAATATTATTACAGAACTATTACATGTAACACAAGAGTATACAAAAGTCTAATAAAAACGTAGAATAATTAATGATGATGGTGATGAAATAACAATAATAACAGTAATAATAAAAGTAATAATCACAGCCTAGTCAAGTATCAATCTAATAACAATAATTATAATATTTTGCATTTCTAGATTATTTTATTTTTATTTTTATGTCTAAAACTGTATTACATAATTACTTAGTTAATAGTAAAATTTCATAATACAACTTTGCAAAATAAAGCTTGCTAATGAAAAGCAAAAACAGAAGTTTTATATTAAAAATAATGACTACAATAATATGACCACTGCAGCAGCTGCAATATTATTACAGAATTATTACATGCAGCACAAGAGTATACAAAAATCTAATAAAAACGTAGACTAAATTAATGATGATGGTGATGAAATATAATAATAATAATAACCAACAATAATAATAACAGTAATAATCACAGCCTAGTCAAGCCTCAATCTGATAACAATAATCATAAAAATATTTTGCATTTCTAATTATTTTCTACTTCAAGTCTACAACTGTATTACATTATTACCTGTATGTTAATAAAATTTCATCTTTTTTCACATTTAATATTGAACCACTACTAACTGGTAGTTAGCGAAACTGTTCAAACCAAAAAAGTAAGCAAACTGGTTTTCACTTAAAGGAAATTGTTCAGTATTTTTACCTGTAGTTGTGAACTAGCCTGGTAACCACGATAAACAACCTTGTTAACTTCAAAACCAATTCGTTCCGCCCTTTGAATCAACTGAGGATACGACTTAAGGCAACTCAAATCGCTACTTTGTCCTAAAAAAGCTGCATAACTGAAATTAACAAAGATTTATTTTGGTAAATTAAAGTAAGCGAATGTTGTACATATATTGAGTAACTAGTAAAAACGACACCTTACTGATAATGCGAGAAATAAATGTTATGCAAAGGTAGTACGATATTAAAAATAATTTTAATTAACTATTATTCTAGGTGTAATGGTGTGGTGGTTTGACAATAAAAATAATATAATAATAATAATAATAATTATAATAATTATGTTATGTAACACTCTGATTTATTCAGTGATTCAGGTAACCCAAACCATGATGTCATGACACATACAATGTCTGCCCACATGTCATTATATTGCAATATACAACTAGAATTACTACACTTGGGTTCTCTGTGAATGTTAGGGCCTGCCATTCACTTAATCATTTTGTTAGTGCAGACCTTACCTTAGATTAGCAGCGAATGCGACCACATCTGCACACAAAGCATTGATGAGATCAGCAATAGGGTCATGGGTCATGGTTAACATAGTAACAGCATCTTTTAGTTCATAGAAGAGCATTATCTTCAAGGTCAGTGTTGTGTCATCTTGAGTTCGTACGTCAGTAACCTGTAGTAACAAAAGTGTTTTATAAAAATTAAATTATAAAAGATTTGCAGTGTTCTCCAAATCAAAAAATTAGTTGGACCAGTAATGGTTTGGAATGCATAGTATCCATCACTGTGCATCGCACCAGGAATTTAGGCAGGGGTTTAGAAAGCAAGTCCCCCATCCGATATTGCTACATTGGTCCCTGTTAGTTGACACCACAAGGAAAGACCTTAAGGAAAATAATTTAAAAAAAAAACACTACATGCTGGCCCAGGGGACAGCAGGCTGTAACCAGGGTTTCATAAGGAGGTTACCTATGAGAGGCAGAGGTCCAGGACAAAGGCAGGGAAGAACCCCTGTTCACTGAAACATTCAGATGTAAAATTATGCATTTCTTCATTATATAAGGTTTGTCATCCCAACACCAATGTATTGCCGCTAAAAGTTAAACTGAGTAATTAGCATAAGAATGTGCCAATATTATATACTTCAGTATAGAGAAGACGATATATTATACTCGTAACTTTAGCAATTAGTAAGTCGTTTTCAGTAATTTATGACCCATCAGTTTAAAGCTTATTAGTGTGCAAGAATTTTCTTGTGTTGGTCACTGACACTTGTGATGGAATTTCACTTACGTTATAATACATGTTTTCTGGGATGATTGTAAGCTTTGTGAACTTGCGCTGGCATTTTACAATTTTGGTCTTGTCATCTGGAGACGGTCCATGCCAAGTAAATTCATGGAACCTAAAATTTAAAAAAAATTTTAAAAAAATTATTTCATACTAGCGAATTATTATGGAAATTTTGCGACCAAGGGCAGATTAGCTCAGTGGGATAATTAATCACTCCTCCATGGTGAAACTCATAAGGAATAACAGTAACACAGACTCCCAGCTGGAGCGTGTGTCCATGCTTTCTGTGTTGGCAATGCACTTTCAACTGTACAATATACCAGAATGTTGAGACTTTTTATTTAGTGAACTTTCTAGGACAGGTCTTATCTAGTAGCATTCTGTGTTGGATACTCACATGAATAACTTAACTAGGACAGGTCTTATCTAGCATGGTAGCATATTTCGTAAACTTTCTTAAATTTTTTACCTTAGGTTCATGACCCATCCTATTGTTCCTCCACAGGTTTTACTCTTACAAGTCCAATTGCCAGATGAAACAAAGTGTCTACTGCCCATACCCCCTATGGCAGTAGACACAAAAATCTAGGTGGGGATTTTTTTCTTAAATAATGACAAAATAAATTTCTGAGAAGCAGCTCCATAACTCATAAAGAGTGACTGGCTTGGGGTTGTGGCTTGGTGGGTATAATCGTTCCAGACCTATATTAAAGATCTTTTTCTAAAAATAAAAACAAGGTCCATACTTCAAATCTCAAAGAGATTAAAGTCTAATTTGTACTGGAATTTTTTTTTTTTGGTAAGACTTGCTGACTCACTGGAAAGATGTACCAAAAAAACTCCAGTGATCCCAGTGGTAAGATTGTGAATGTTTACTATGATCTCAGCTTTTTACTGAAAGAAGTCCAGTGCAAATTAGGCTTACAGAGCAATGAGAGTCCTAAATGATGCTGTGAAATGATGGTGACTACTCTCAAAGCCTCAAAATTGAACTTGATTATCTTTTAATTAAACCAGAATTTGAACCCAGAACCCTTGGATTGGGAGGCAAGCATTTTAAACCACCAACAATACCATCATAAGTCCAAAAATTGTAAAGAGAACATTTCCCTTCTTTTGTTGGTCAGATGTTGGGTCTTTCACGAGTCCCGGGGCCCCGTACCCCGTTCCCCTTTCCTGGGTCCCTTTTCTGGGCTTTCTTTCCCAACAAATAATTCCTACTTTTTTTTAACTGTTAATTAAACAATAAGGAATTTCTCATCAATTACCATACAATATACTTTTAATAACCTAACTAGTGATCAGATATTGATATCTTTCAGAATAATCTTGCTACGTTTAAATCAAAGATCATTCATTCCATTCTTGAAGAGAATGCATGATCTTCATTTTATCAGTCAGGATTTCGTAATGGAATGATTGTGTTTTTTTGTATATGTTTTTAAGTTTATTGTTGATATATATATATTTTTGTATACAGTATTTATTTACCTTGAACTTACCTTGAAGATCAAGACTAGAGAACTTAGCTCATTTGTCCCTCAATTATCATTTGTGCAAACTCTTCAGTAACATACCATACCATACATAGAAATAAAAATAAACTACAACAAAATAAAATACAATAAAATAAAATAATAAAATAAAATTAAATAATAAAATTTTTAAAAATAAAATAAAAAATAAAGTAAAATATAATATAATATAATAAAGTACAATAAAAAAAAAAAAGTATACATACCACTCCTCTGCCTCTGGAATAAACACCTGAGGGCCATTGACTAGTCTTCTGGTGACAACGTTATCATGGGATTTCTTGTAGACAACGAGGAGCTGCGTGCCGTCCAGTATAATGGCCGGCTCCACTTTGATGCTTTCATGCAGATAAGGGTTCAAGAATACCTGACATGGCCTGTTTAGAAAGAGATGTGAACACAACTACTATGAACATAAAATGTCTCTGCACTCATATTTTAAATCAAATGATTTGGTGATGGAATAGCAAGTCGACCATTCTAAAATTTAATGGAGTATTCGATATTTGAAAAAAAAAATAGTCTGGGTTGCTGTGGGTTAAGTGTCCCCTATAGGGGAGAAACAGAAAAAAAATTGTTGGGGATAAAAAAAAAATTAAATGTAATTCCTATAGTTTGTGGAACTCTAAAGTGATTAATTAAGCGTTTCCAATGTTTACAATAGAGTTTTTGGGGCCACATGGACCCAGCTACTTCTAGTGGTCTTGAGCTGCCCCTGGCCAAACTAACTTATGTTCTTGTCAGAAACCTGAGTACCCCGTTGGGAACACTGGACTTCTGTGAGGTGTTAGGTACAGTAAAATCCCAAACCCCTGAAGTAGCAGCGGGTTCAAAGCGTACAGGCCTCAGCTGCGGAACCATGAACTCCTTAACAAGCGGTTCGGGGGTTCGTTTGGGAACCCTGCAGCTTTGAAAGTGACTTACCCAGGTTTATGTGTGACTAGTCCATCTTTATCATGAATGACTAGGTACTCTCTCCTATTAGCAGTATAATCTCTCAAAACAGTGAGGCGTTTACGATATAAAAACACCTGAAAGATGAATACATTTGTGAATGTTGTCAGTTGTACCATACAAATGTGCGTAAGGCGATCTGCGTATACGACTCCCGAGCATGAGAATATTTTTGGACGATTTTTGTATGTCGGGCATATAAGATGTTTGCGGAATTTCTACTTGTTTGGTGCTCTTAAATGTTCTTGATTATGCATCTAATCTAGCTCGCAAAAAATGGAGTCAAATAGTAATAATAATAATAATAATAATAATAATAATACAATAATAATAATAATAATAATAATAATCTGGCCGTTTTTTTATTTAACTTAGGCATAGGCCTACATATCTGTATGTAATGTATGCTTATGCCCACGTGTTTTTCATTAGTTATATATATTTATTTTTGTGTTGATAAAATATAATAACGCCTAATGATACCGTAATTATTCACATTTTATACTAGGCCTACTGTATTTTTCTGTAGAAAAAATGGCCTTGTTTTAGTTAATTTTAACTGATGATAGTCATACAGTAATGAGTTGTGTGTCACTATAATGTAATTTTGTACTTTTTATCTTTGGAATGTTATAAACGGATGTTCGTTGTTATGAATTATTGTAACAATTACATGAGCGCAGAAGCTGATTTATCATGATAATGATTTTAATTTGTTCTTTACAGGTAGACGATGAGGGAAAATAAATTCTGCCTAAAACTAGTTTGATTGATGGTTAATTATATGTCTTGTATTGTTATATGTATACTGTATACGTTTTTGTGATATTAATTATGGCGGCACAGTATATGTATTGTAAATTGAAACACCTTACTACAAGACTCGCAAAAAATAGCAAAACTTAAACTGGTATAGTCTTTTTTTATTGATACTAAAGTTGTAACAATCACTGTAAATATTTAACTATATACTGAAACTTCCATAATACAAAAATAAGCAAATTTACATAAATATCATATAGGAATAAAATATCAAAATATTATAAGGAATTACCGTATGTATGTATAATATTTCAATCATTTCATTTATATATTGGGATAGTACATTATATTTTTATACCGGTATATAAATTCCTAATTATTCACTGTAGGCCTAGGCTTACATATTTTCCCCTTTTTGTTATTGACGTATCCAGCTGTTATATGACTACGTTCTTTTCATTAGCGGCTGTTGTGTATTCGGTGGCCCCTTTGGCGTTCCATACATTTTGCGTGGCGGCCGAAATAACTGGCGGCCGAAATGATCGAACACCGTTTCAAATTGCGCGAATAAATTCGCCTAGGCCTAGCCTAGACTAGTCCGACTGACTGAGCTTCAAGTCAGCAAAATCAGTCAGTAGGCCTAGGCCTACTCTAGGCCTCGGAGCTCAGGAAGCGAACCGACGCTTTCGATTTGCTTGAATAAATTCGCCTAGGCTTTAAATGGAAAACAACTTTAAGTCCAGGCTAGATAGAGGAGGTGGCGGAATAGGCTAGGGAGTAAAGGGGCCTATGCTATAGTACAGCACTAGCCTAGGCCTAGGCCTAGGCCTAGATAGAGAGCCAAGATGTAGGCCTACGCCTATGCCTAGGCCATAATAGTAATACTTTGTCAAGTAAACTCACCCTCTGCGGTCCTACGATAAGTTCTACCTTTCCTAAATGGTCAGTGACTATTGCTTGTTGACCCTCAAGTACGGTTTTGAATTTCATTCTTGTTGCTTTTACAACTTTAGATATTAAAAAAGAACAAAAAAAATGTCAAAAAGAAGACAAGATCGAAAAAGGCATCCGTTTTCCTGCTGAGCTCAACTGTTGTGTTTGTCGCTACCGTACCTATTAATAGATATGACATCATTGAGGCAGCTGTATGGTGGGCACTGCATAACATACTCTTTGCTGCTAATAACCCGCAGCTATAAATCAGTTAACAATAAACCATATGTATCGCGTTTTAAACAATATAAGTCCAAAATATCTTAACCAGGCAGGCCGCTCAGCGGGCAAGGCCATACATAATTAGAAAAGAACAAATTATTAAAAACAAAATGAGAAAACAACAAAAACATAATATCTTAACTACAGTGAAACTATCCCCCGCCGGACACCAACCCGGTATTTCTAAGTTTCGGGAATAAAAATGATTTGCTGTATCTTTAAACAAATATAGATTTAATATTCTTGTTTGCAAGGCCATACATAATTAGAAAAGAAAAAATTATTAAAA